CAATAGGTGACATGGATGAGTGCTGTAGGTGAATTCCTTGGGCTTACAGGTAATTTGTTAGATAGGCACAAGCACTAGTGACTAGGGAGCAACCTGAATAACTCATTTAGGTGGGAGCCTAGGACTGCATATGTCTTGGCTGATGCCTTAGCAAAGGCAGGGGCAAGTAGGGACTAGGGAGAGTTTTCAAGGATGCCCTTATATCTCTTGCTTACTATCCAACCTTTTGGGTAGTAGAGAGGTTTCTTATTATTGATTGCAATCAATTCTGTCATTTATTAAAACAGAAAAAAGAGGGTATAAAAAGGAAAACAATACATAACAAAAAAAAAAAAAACACAGAACAAGTAACGAGAGATTGGAATTCAAAAAAAAAAAAAATATATCCATCAAGGCCATTTCCAAATACCTGGTAAGATGGGCCAAAAGCTATACCAGTCAGCTTGACCTGGTCCTCCCTGGGTCTATTTTTAATCAACTCATCCTGCTTCACTTCAACTATTTCCGTAGGTACCCCATCCCTCCCTCTCTTTCCTGATATTCTTGCCGTGCTTTCAAACATCCCTGAATTCTCTGTTGCCGGAGTCACTGTGGAAGCTTCAGCCCAATTATCCCCATAATTTCCATAACCCCCATACTCTCCATAACTCCCATAATTTTGGTAGGCCTCATAATTCTCATTACTGGGAGCCCAGCTCGAGGTGTCAGCTCCTCCAGTTGCAAACTCCGACGGACCACCAACTGTTCCCACCATTGACGAGTACGACCCATCAACCCAATTGCCCTCGGAATGCCCTCCATTCTCAACAGTATTTGATTCATTTTCCGCTCTATGTACATCAGAATTCGATGTGGGTACATCTGCCTCAACGATTGATCTCCGACCAGAACCCAAAGAAGACGAAGCACCTGAGCCCAGGGAGTTCTTTGGAGCAGGAAGGTTGGATAAGAAGGATTTCAAAGAGGAGGTTTGCCCTGAAGAGACCGATTCTTTGGTGAGTTTTCTTTCGTTTTCCTCCTCGTCATCGTCTTCGTCCTGGGGTTTGAGCAAAGATAGGTTTATGGGAGGCTTGAATTGAACGACCCTTTTTCTATTGAGATCTGTGGACGAGATATTAGAGGCGGCCTGGGTAGTAGTCGATTGAAGAGACTTGGGAGGGGGAAGGGAAGAGAAACCAGAGGAGGATTTGGGTTGGGGAAGGGAAGAGAAGATAGATAAGGCCTTGGAGGCATTGCCGAGATGAGAGGGGGATTTGGGGGTAGAATCTTCTTCTGTGGTTGGGTGAAGAGACTTAGGAKGAGGAAGGGAAGAAAAACCAGAGGACTTAGGTTGGGGAAGGGAAGAAAAGATAGAAGAGGTCTTGGTGGCATTGCCAAGATGAGAAGGGAACTCGGAGGGGGAATGTTCTTTTGTGGTTGGGTGAAGAGACTTAGAAGGAGGAAGGGAAGAGAAACCAGAGGAGGATTGAGAGGATTTTGGTGGGGGAAGAGATGAAAGGAAAGAGGTCTTGGGGGGTTTATTAAAGTTAGAAGGAGATTTGGAGGGGGAATCCGATATCACCTGTTGTTGTTCATCTTCGCCTTCGTCGTCTGAAGAAGCATAGTTTGCTAATAAGGAGTCCATGACAAAAGAAATAGGGAGGGAGGAAGAAGACGAGAAGAGGGAGCTCCGGTGCTGGAGCCTAGAAGTAACAGATTGATTCGGCGTTCTTTCTCATCAAAAAAATCTGTTCGGCGTTTGACGTTTGTTTATAAAAAGAAGGGAAATTTTCAGATTAGTACCTGAATTTTGGGTAGTTTCAAGTTAGTATCCGAATTTTAAAACGTATCACTKTATTATCCAAATTTTTAAAAACTGTGTTGGTTTCCGCTGTTAATTAGAATATAAAAGGACATAAATGATCTTTGTGTGTCATCTAATTTTCTTTATCTACCATACACATAAATCTCACCAAATCATTAAAAACACTTGTATTAATTGGGGCTCTCGGTAGAATGTCCTTACTCCAAGGGAGCGTTCTTTTTTTGGATTTTGCAAAAAGGAAAAGTTGATCAATGGGATTTTGGTTCTCATTCACCAAGAATCTCATATTCATTTTTCATATTTATGTAGAGACTAAGGAAAGTTTATTTTTGTAAGTACCACTTACCCGGATATGTGATACCCATCTCTTAGGTAGATAAATAATTTTTCCACCTAGGAGAAAAAGTTGTTAATATTTGAATGGGACAAAATGACCMTTTTAATAATGAATTTTTATGATTAAAATGGTCATTACCTTATTTATTTGTGAAATAAAAGAACATGAATAAATTTATTTACTCCAACAAGAAAAACTTACCTAGATAATTTCATTTACATGGATAAATAACTTACCAAAAAACAAAAAGGCCTAAGAGTTGCAAATGAGATATAGAGAGTTAGAGGAGCTCCTATCCAAATTAAACCCCATGGTTGAAGAATTTGTTCYTCCTTCCCTCGTTAACCATGGATCAAGAGGTGGCCTTCATGCTAACGGTGCACAATAACACTGTAAATGGCAATGTCAACGGAAATACCAGTAGTCGATTCCTTTTGCTTCCTTTTTCTTTTATCTCTCCCTTTTGTGCATGTCTCTTTTACCCCATTCTACTTTTATTAAGTCTCATTGTCTTTAATTGGTTTCTCTTGGTTTAGAAAAAGAATAATTATAATCAAGGGAAAGGAGAATGAAATGAAGAACAAGTATGGCACAACGAAAATAAGTAATTAGGACTTAGGAGGACTTTACGTATTTGACATTGTTCAGCAGGTCAGCAACTACATTAGCTTCATGGGGTTTTCATTTTTCTTTCCTTTCCCGCCCCTTCGGTTTTTAGGTAGAATTTCCTTGTTTTCCTTTTCTATTAGCGTAAAATTTAAAAACCTCCTCTGAAGTTTTGACAATCATAAAAAACTTTTCCTTTATTTTCATTTTAATAAATACGTCCTCTGATTTTTTGAAAAACTCGACAAAAACCTTCCTCACCTTTCCAAACAGAAATCGTTAAACTGATGTARCAGTTTCTTCCAAATACCCTTTTAAGAACCGATAGAACCRAAATTAACCCTAGCTGGATCTAGCAAAAAAATCAACTGGATTGACGAGATTAACCCCCAACATGTAACCAATAGAATCGAAATATTCGAGTGATCGAGACGCGCTGTCGCTGTATATCGAGCACCCATCCGATAACACCACTAGCTTATAGAACATCTGGTACAGCCGGCTCGATGGCTGATGTATCGTCGTCACCACCGTTCTTCCGCCTCTTGCAAGCCCCTGCAATGTTGCCACGATACGCTGAGCGGTGGTGGAGTCGAGCCCCGACGTGGGTTCATCCAGCAACAACAGACTCGGGTTCACCAGCATCTCTTACTCGATACTGACCTGCTTGTATGTGATGCTACCGGAGAACTTCCTCGGCGTAGGTTAGCGTCTCCAGCACGKTGAGGTGGGGATACAGTACGTCATCTTGTGACACGAACCCGATCTTGCGCTTTATGGAGCCGGAGAAGGTCTGCCCATTGTAGGTGATGCTGTCGGAGAACTTCCCTGGAAGCCTACTTGCTAGGGCCGTCAAGATCTTGCGCTTTTCCCACTGCTAGATGGGCCGAGCATTGCTAGGAGGTTGCCCGGTCAGACAACCCCAGTAACGCCGTTGAGTATGGTGCGTTCAGCAGGCTTGGGTTCCGATGCAGAAAACCAACATCCGTCGGACTTCTTTAGATTTATACTGTAACTCACATCTTCAAACTACAAAGAATGAATGCATGTACGATGAAATTAAAATTCAACGATCCATATTTAACTTGAGAGCATGAAGAGCATAAGCTTCATCTGATTACCTTGAGTGTGATAGGGCGCAATGACCCAAATAGTAGTGAGCACTGGCCGCCCATGGCTGCCTGGAGCTGCCCAGGCATCTGATCATCCAAAGATGGGCTAACGTTACTGGACAAAGCAGGCAGCTCAGAGCATGGCATGCCCATGATATTGTCCGAGCTGCGGTTCACAACGGGGATATTATTGTTAGACCCATTAGTACTGATTCCAAGCTCTTGCTCACGGGGAAGCATCATCTTCTAGAGTAGTCTAGAAAGAAGGTTACCGAGAAAACAAATTAAATGGGTTTGGAAGACAAAGAGGAAGTAAGGTTCCAACCTTTATATATGCAAACAGACACAACAGGTATGAGGCCAAATGTCTTCTTTATTGTGAAAAAAAACGAAGACTTAACAAAAAAAAGTAAAAACACTCAAAAAACTAATCAGGTCGGCGCATGACCCGTCTGACAGTTCGGGTGAAGAAGACGACCTACGCGGGTCAGTGAGACCTATTTTCGAAAAGCCTGAATACGAAATGACGGGTCTAGCCGATCCGGTCTGTACAACCAAACCCGTGCATCATACGGGTCTAATCCGTGTATCACATAGGTTGCTTAAAAAAGGGTAGAATGGGTATTTGGAAGAAACTGCTACATCAATTTAATGTTTTCCGTCTGGAAGGGTGACGGAAGGGAGGTTTTTGTCAAATTTCCCAAAAGTTCAGAGGAGGTATTTATTAAAATGAAGAKGGGAGGTTTTTATGATTGTTAGAAATTTTAGGGGAGGTTTTTGTATTTTACCCTTTTTATTATTATATAATATAAATGTCTGTCGCTTAATACTTTGGGCCATAAAATTGAGTTGCAAAAGCAAGCATTTTAAACTTAGGGTACTAACATCAGGGACCAATTTGATAGTTTTTAAAAGTTTGGGCATTGCAATGACATGTTTTAAAGTTTGGGTACTAACTTGAAGCTACCTGAAGTTTAGAGTACTAATCTAGAATTTTCTCTAAACGATAATGTTAAGAAAAATGGGAAAGGGAAAATCAAGGTAAAGACCGATGAGAAGAGATAGGTAGCAAAAGATTAGTTAGTAAACAATATAAATATATTAAGTTGAAATATGTATGAGGATGAGAGAAATGGAATCTAACACTATTTTTTGCCTTTTTTCATAGAAATTACAAGAATGCCGCTATTTCCTACCAATTCTCTATCTCTCTTGCTTTTTTTTCTTTCAAATTACAAGAATGCCACTCTCTTTCCTATCAACTCTCTCTTTTTTACAAATTACAAGAATAACATCTTTCTCCTTATAAATTACAAGAATGCCACTCTCTCTCCAATTGAGGGAGACCTCAGCTCGGCAACTTGACTACTAGGGAACCTGCAATCAAAGGTAGTTGAGTTTGAGCCGAGCCGAGCTCGAACTTCTAAGCTCAAGCTTAAGTCTCTAATTCGAATCGATCTCGAGCTAGATGACACCTCGACCACTGAGGGAGACTTCGGCTCGGCACCTCGGTCATTGAGGGAGATCTCGGCTCAGCACATCGATAACTGAGGGAGACCTCAGCTCGGCACCTTGTCAACTAAGGGAGACCTTAGCTCAACACCTCGCCTGTTAGGGAAAACTCAACTCAACACTTCAATAGATGAGGGAGACCTCGGTTTGGCACCTCGGCTACTTGAGAGACCTGCAATCAAAGGTAACTGAGCTTGAACTTCTGAGCTTTTGACTTAAGCCAAGCTCGAGCTCAAGTTCAAGTCTCTAATTCGAATCGATCTCGAGCTTGATATTTTATGAGCGAGCCCCTACAATGCAGGGCCCCCTCCGCTAGTTAGTATATTGAATCAGAATGATGCAAGTAATAGATTGAGGAAGACAAGTTAATCCAATAATAAAAAAAGAACAAAATAATAAACGAAAGGGCAAATTTCTTAAAGTACCCATATGTTTAGCTAATTGAGTAGCGCACCCTTACTCTTTACATATTGTCTTAAAGTACCCTTAAGCTTTTGATAATTGTCTAAAACCTCCATTGCCATTAACTTTTCATCACACTCCGTTCACATGTGACATCACACAACTGATTTATTTTTTAAAAATCCTAGAATATCCTTTTATGGTTCCACTCCATCTTAATCTTCATCTCCGTCTTCGTCTTCACCTCAGTCTCCATCTCCGCCTCCATCTTCTTCTCCACCTCTATCTCCATCTCTGACTCCGTCTTCACCACTGTCTCTGTCTCTGACTTCATATCTGCCTTCGTCTCCATCTTCAACTCCGACTTTGTTTCTCCTACCATGCTCTCTATTTCTGGGCAAAAAGTGCTTAGAATGCTGCTTGGTTCGTTAACACCCCCAATGCCGTTGTGTTGCCAACCGGTGGAAGAGGGGACAAAGAGGAACTAACTAAAGAAAACATTAATGATCCTTCGTTCTCCATTGGAACCATAAGCCTTAGCATGACGGTGATTGGGGTATTCAAGAGTGGTGAGCAATCACATTTAGGAGCAAAGACTCCTAAAGCATGAAATTATCAACTGGGTTTGGACCCTTGATGCTTTAAGCAGCTGTCACACGAATCAAATATGGTTTTTTAAGGATCAAATCTAGTACTTTTCTGATACCCATTTTCTAAAGGTAGTGTTTTGGTTCAAAAATGAATATTTTGTTTTTTGATAACCTATCTGCAAGCATCTGAATCAATGAAAAAAATGGTTTTGGGTGCCTTGGAAACCTAAAGGAGTCCTCGTGTGCAAGCTTCATATCCAACTCACCTACCAATCCTTATCAACTCTCTACAGTTCTTTATCAACAACAAATTTCATACGACCCAAAGCTTCATTCCCACCTAAGAAACAATGATTTTGATCTCTCTCACGAATT